TTACCCAAACCTCTGGCTACTGATTTTTGTATTATATTTTAGTTTTGGCTTTTGCAGAATGTGTAATTGGAATTATACAGTGTGTAGCGTTTTCAGACAGGCTTCTTCTACTTACCATTGTGGAGTTAAGATTTAATCCAAATCTTGTGATTAGAGTGTTTATTTTTTTAATTGCTGAGCAATATTTCATTATATGGATGGATGTTTATTCATTAACCTATTGAAAGACATTTTGGTGATTATGGATGAAACTGCTATAAACATTTGCCTGCATTTGTAAGTATCAGCTTTTGGGTAAGTACAAAGAGAACAATTGCCAAGTCGTATGTAATAGGGCTATATTTAACTGTATAAAAAATTGCCAAGCTGTCTTCCAAGTGACTTACTGCATTTTCTCTAGTAGTAAATGAGCATTCCTTTTGCTTCACATCCGTACCACTCTATTATGTATCTTAGCCATTCTGATAGTTATATGGTGGTAGTATTGTTTAATGCTCAGTCACCTAAAGGTAAATGATACTGAGCATCTTTTCATATGTTTATCTGCCATGTGAATATCTCAGGGGAGATAGCTGTTCAGATCTTTTGCATATTTTAAAATTAGGTGGTTTATTTTCTTGTTGAGTTCTTTGTATATTTTTGTACTTCATTAACAGATAATGTGTTTTGCAAGTACTGTCTCCTAGATTTGTCTTTTGATCCTCTTGTTTTGGTGGTTTTATTTGTTTTTTATGTTTAAAAAGGACAGGTTTATTAGGAAGGTTTTTTTGGTTGGTCTTTTATATTTAAAAAGGGCAGGTATATTAGGAAGAGAGTAAGGCACATGCATAGTTACAGGTTGTCAGAACTGCTGTTCCTACATCTTTCACAGTTGATTTTAGTTTCAATTAAGTCCTGTATAACAATTTTTTCCTTTATTGCTTGCTTTTGGTGCTGTGTATAATAAAAATGTATAAACCCATGGTCACCTAATTTCCTTTTGTGCTTGCTTCTGGAAAGCATAATAATGCATTACCCTTTTTATATGCCCAGTCAATAGTTGATACCTTTAGGAAGTGAAATGGAGAGGGGGGCTTTGATTCTTGGTATGTGGATGTCCATTAATGAAACAAAATTGAGATCACATTATATTGTCTTGAATTGTAAGTCTCTGCAGGACTTGGAACATTTAATCTGGTTTAATAGTCGTTCTTGAAACTGTAGAATATAGGCTTATCGATAACAGCATTTTCTTGGGCATATTAGCATATTGTTAGAACAGTTTGTATAAAGCTAGTAGTGGCTGACCAGGCTCATGAGTGTACAGCTGTGAGAATCAGTTTGTTGTGTGTTGGCAATACTGGTTTCTCACAGCCTTAACCTGCAGTGTAGGAGCTACTTCTCTTACCCAAAAAAACATTCTGCAGCTCAGAATGTCAGAGCAATGGTGGTGGGAGAGATGTGCTTTTTCTGAGTTTGCTGGAACCTTCCTGTGTTGTTCTTGATAGGGTCCTGAGCTTTTTGGGTACTGGAAGACTGTTTTACTGGGGCCATTCTCTCCCACTTGGGTGCCCTTTTGCCCTCAGATGCCATCATCCACCAGCCTGGGCTAGATGTCCTATAGTGGCAGCCTGTCTTAACCAAACTTAGCTGAACCCTCATTGCAGGTCTCTCCTTTCAGTACTCTTTCTGACCAGTCTTCCTGGGTCTGTCACACTTCCTCAGCATCCATCTACACAGTAACATTTTGTCTCAGGTAATAGAAATAGAGACTTTGGAGTCTTTGAATTTCACTGATTAGTTTTGACACTGAATAAATCGTTTTAATCTCACTAAGTCATATTTCCTAATGTGTAAAATAAAATTACAGTACTGCCTCACTGGAGGTTTACATGAAGCAGTGTATGTGAAACTTGGAAAACAAAGCACAGATATATTCATGAATGCCAAACTGTGGTTCTCAAAGTGTGACTTCTGAGCCAATAGCCTCAGCATTCCTTGGAACTTACTAGAAAAGTAAATCCTAACATGAGATCCAGCACAGACATGCTGAGTGAGATACCTGTTTTAAAGTCCCCTGTACATTCAAGCTTGAAAGCACTGTTTACCCATAATGATCCTTAAGTGCCCAAGGGAGGGTATTCTTACTAGTTCAGGCTGCCATAACAGTACTAACGGTTGGGTAACTGATACGTTATTGTAATCTGGAGGCTGGAAGTCCAAGAGCAAGGTATTGGCAAGGTTTGTTTCTGGTGAGTTCTGTCCTTGACTTGCAGGGGACCCATTTTCTGGTGATGTCCCAACATGGACTTTCATCTATTGCACTGTCACACCTGATATGTCTTATACAGACAGCAGTTCTGTTAACTAGAACCTGTTTGATTGGACTTCATTTTATCATCATTACTTCCTTGAAGGTCCTGTGTCCAAATATAGTCACTTTTTTAAAAAAGATTTATTTATTCGTACAGAACTGGGGTACAGCTCAGAGATGCGGAGGGTGAGAGGACAGAGTGGGGTACAGAACAGGCTGATTGACGAAGTACACTGCTGAGGGGAGCAGCGGGCTGGTCAGGAGAGGTCTGCCTCGCCATGCCATGTGGATCACCTTGGGGACAGGCAGAAATCGAACACATGCAGAAGTGGTTTAAGCTTCTTTGTGTTCTGCTTTAACCCGCTGCGCCACCAGGGAGGGCCCCAAATATAGTCACTTTTTCAGTTAGGACTTCAACATAAGAATTTTAGGGGAGCACAGTTCACTCCATAACAACAATATATCATCAAATTAAAAATTGGACCAAAAAATCAGTCCTACTGATTTTTTTTTTAAAGGTAAGTAGTTAACCCAATAGACCAAACTCCCTGTTTCCTTTAGCAACAGTATTGTAGTTCTAATACCAATACTTAGTCCTAGTTAGTCCATTTGTCTTGTGCTTTGCTTAATTATTACTAGTCTTTGTTTGTTCTTTTTAGAATTTATAGTTGTAACTACATCTTGTTTTAGACTAATTTGATTTTGTAGTTTATCCCTTGGAATTCCAGCTACCATTTATAGCATTGTTTCTGTGAGAGAACTTGAGAGTTGTTTAGAGTTGATTTAAATAAGTGTTACATCATCAGTGTTTAGTTTTAAAGAATCTTTCATAGCTGTCAAAGAAAGCAATATTGCTATGCTGTTTTACTTTTTTTTTCCACAATAGAAATCTTTACCATGAATAAATGAAATATTACTGGTATTGAGTATATGAGAAACCATATCAAACTAGTATCAGTCCTAGGAAAGATTATGATTTTATTTAGCATTTTGGGGGGCAGTTTTGTAACTTTATTTTGATAATCAGTGGCTAAATCTCACCCACATTGTAGATTCTTGAAAGTTATGACAAGTACATAAGACTTACTTGTTGAATCTTCATTCTTATTATGTTTCCTGGCCAACTGCATGTGGATATCATGTGGAAAGTTCCTTATTCCTTTGACTCAGGGAGCTTTGTTGAGCCTGGTGTTGGTGCACACACCTGGAGTGCCCATTTCCATCACTGTACATTTCTAGATCTCTTTTAGGGCTCAAGAGGTGTATTACCTGAAGCTCACAACCTGGGTGTGTTTGTGAATGTTAACGGTGCATTTTCTAACTCTAGCCACCATTCTTTGTGGAAGCCATTCTGCCCAGAGTGAAAGGAAGGAGTACTTACTTTCATTTTCTCACTATCTAAGATGGATTAAGGAATCCAATTGTTACAGGGCAGGGAGAGAGGCACCACTGAACCCCCAAACCTGTCTGCTCTAAATAGGTTCTGCCACCTGCTGCTCAAGACCAGACATAAGAGCTTTAATGGAAAGGACTTTTAATACAATGTGTGCAATACAGAAAAAACAGTTTCTAAATCAGACACCTTAAGTTACCCATCTCCTTGTGGGTAAACATTGATCCAACAGAGATTGGCCCAAAGTAAGGCCTGAAAGCCTGCAACAGGCCTAAAACCTGCCACCGGCCTAAAGCACAGGTAGGGACCCATATAGAAAAGTGTTGGACATGACAAGTCTGGAGGAAAAGAGCAAAATCAAAATTAATATAAACGCTGCCATAATGAATCTCCCTACGAGTCTCTCAGACCACATCTGTTTCAACCAGCACAGGGCCAAGAAACAAACACAGTTTCTTCACATGTCTCTCTCTGCTCCATGTGGCTTCCTCAGGTCACCTTCTGGCTCTCCATCCTGCTTCCTTCTTCAGATACCTTCTCTTTTCTGCTCAGCTCCACCCTCCTGGGTGGGGCAGAGAACCTGGAACTTCCCTTTTCCTGGAACCACCCTGTTAAAGTAATAGGTCCTTCAAAACTTAGAGACCCATTCTCAGTTTGGGTTGTGCAGTGAGGGAAGAGCTGGAATGATGGGAGTGGGGAAGGGAGATTCAATGGAGCAGGGTGATGATTATGGGTGGATGGAATATTGAAGGGGGTGCTGCACCTAAGGGAAACAGTGACTATACAAAGGTGAACAACAAAATGTAAGAAAGTTTAAAAAAAAGGAAGGTCCTTCATTTAATATTTTTGTTGAGTCTTAAAACATCAGTTTGAAATTATATATACATACAATGATCTCTGAACAGTAGCAGCAATCTATAAAGTTTTCAATGTGAGCTTCTCTGTTATTTTATTGCAACGTATAGGTCAATACTCATTGTAAATACATGAGGACATTTTGTTCATTGTAAAGTTCTTTACAAATTTAAGAGGTTAGTTTGAAATTATATTTGAATACTTTTGATCTGTCTGGCCTCCTATAAAGGAGACAACTGTGTGTTCAAGTTTTACTTGGAAATTTTCTTGAAATTGAATATTTTTCTTGATTTTAGGAAAGCCTCTTAATCTCTCTGGACACTACCTGATAAATAGAAATAGTGACAGTAAAGTTCCTTTAAGTCTGATTAAAGCCCCTGAATTTTTAAGTCTGAGGGGTTAGTGGCTTACAAAATTTTCAGGAGGAGGCAATACATTTAACTTGCTTTACTCTTGTAGATCATGGAAGGGAAATGGTTGCTGTGTATGTTACTAGTCCTGGGAACGACTATCATTCAGGCTCATGATGGACATGAAGATGATGTGATTGATATTGAGGATGCCCTTGATGATGTCATTGAAGAGGTAGAAGACTCAAAGTCAAAACCAGATATCAGCACTCCTCCATCTCCCAAGGTTTGAAATTTAGTCTTTGAATCTCTTTCTTTTATCGTAGACATAGTTAAATGATAAAGGTACACTTGGATTGTTTGTAAAAGGAAAGCAAAGTTGTCTTAAATGCTTATCTCTCTGGTAGCTTTTACTATATCTTTCCATAGATAAGTTGTATGAATTGAGTGTCAACCGTGAAGTATTTATAATTTTTTAAACTATTTATTTATTTACTTAGTTTTATAATTCACAGCAAATCAAGACAATCTTAAGAAAGGAGTGTTGCTGAAAACATTAATTCATTTAATATTTAACACAGGTTACCTATAAAGCTCCAGTTCCAACAGGGGAAGTGTATTTTGTTGATTCCTTTGATAGAGGAACTCTATCAGGGTAAGTGTTTTTTCCTGGGGGAAAAATATCTTAGAGACAAACATGTAAATAAGAGTAGTGAGTTCCTTTTGGGGTAACATTTTCTTTATGTCTAAATAACTACTTTATATTTCTAATATCCATGCCTGGTTAGGAAGATTCTAAGTTTTGAACATATTTTTCTTACTTCCATAATTCTGCCATCTTCACCCTATATTTTGTTCTTTGAAAAGAAAATTTTCCTCTTGAATCTTAAAAACAAAGTGGAATTATTGCATGGCTTTGGTATTTTTCTTACAGGTTTATGAATTGAGTATAGTATATTATCTCTATTTGGTAGAAGATTTAAAAGTTGAAAGTAGAGAGATAAAGTAGGTTAAGGAGAGCAGGGTAGATCCTGCTTCTGTTAATATTTACGTTGTTTTCATAGGCCGTATATCTGAGTCTTAACTTGGGGATTTGTCTTATTACAGGTGGATTTTATCCAAAGCCAAGAAGGATGATACTGATGATGAAATTGCTAAATATGATGGTGAGCATTCCATTTCATTTAGTTATAATAGCAGATTGAGGCTTGATGATATGTTTGTATGGTATCTCTTTAAGGCTTGTTTAAAAGGAGTATATACATTTTAAGATATTTTCTTGGAAATTTTGCTACAAGGTTAGACTTGTTTAGGTTTTTAATACCAAAAAACTGAAAGATAATTTGTCATGTAATGTTCTATGTTGGAAATGGAAAGTCTTTTCTAGACACTGGTAAAAGGAATGTCAAATTTATTAATATTAGTAAGCCAATTTATAGGTAAATGGAATACATGAAAATTTTTTTTTACGATTTGCTTATTTATGTATACAAAACTGAGGTACAGGCCAAGGGCTGTGAGAGGATTCACCAGAGATGCAATGCAGAGCAGAAAGATGAAGTACTCTGCTGCTAGGAGCAGCAGGTGAGACAGGAGAGGTGTGCTTCCCCATGTGGGTCTGGCCGCGGATCAAATTTGTGCTGAAGCAGCTGCGGCTAGCTTTGTAGTGTTAAGCTTTAACCTGTTGCACCACCAGGGAGAGCCTAGAATACATGAAAACTTTATAGTTGTAATGAACTCATACTGTTAAGGGGAAGGATGTCCTAAAAGAACTCTGCAGAGTTTGGTGGACTCCACCCCTACTCCAGCTTTCTGGATTTCACCCCTTATTCCAGTGATTGGAAAACTACAACTCCCAGCAGCACCAACAAGAGAACTGTGAGGACCTAAGGGCAGAGCTAAGCAGGCGTTCTGAGACTTTGGGGGATAAATAGTGAGCAGTTTTCCAGCTGACACTCTGGAGAGGTAACAGTTCTCTCTGGAGCAAATGCTCAGACGAGTGTGACAGGTGTGAGACAGGTGTGACGGGTACTACCAGTGTTAGTTTGGGACTAGAGCTCCAAGTTAGCTACTTTGTATCCCTCTCTCTCTTCCCTGGGTTGTTTCCTTTTCCTTTCCCCCCATTTTGTAAATAAACCCATTACCCTTTCTGTGCCTGCAGAAAATTGCGTTCTGAAGCGGTGTGTGAGGCCCCACAGACAGGCAGCCCAAGTCCACTCTGGGCTGCCCTGTAACCTGTAACAATATAACTTGTTTTCTTTGTTACTGTTTAAAAGCTCTTCAAAAGTGTAGTTGAAGAGTGAAACTTTTTGTTGTTGCAGGAAAATGGGAGGTAGATGAAATGAAGGAAACAAAACTTCCAGGAGATAAAGGACTTGTGTTGATGTCTCGGGCCAAGCATCATGCCATCTCTGCTAAATTGAACAAACCCTTTCTGTTTGATACCAAGCCTCTCATTGTTCAGTAAGTGGAATGTTGGCTTTATGGAAGCTTTCTAGGGAGAATGAGCTCAGATGTATTATAAAGCTGTTACTCTTTGTGAAAATATTATGATAATCATTGCTTTAATGGGATATTTGGGTATAATGATACATTCTATACTCAATACTTTTTTTCCTGTCAAATAAATTATTATGCAACAAAGTGGCATGTGAACTTTGGGGGAGGAGGAGGTTCTACAGAAAGTATTTACTGGGAATCTGTGTGTAGGTTTTATTTTATTTACATATTTATATTTGAGAGGTTGGGTAGTCATTCCAAAGCAATAGAGGATAAAGTATTTTGTAAGATTCCATCTTACAGCAAGTACCTTGTTGTAATAAAGCATATGGTCAAGAGTGCAAATGAGAAATAAATTAAGAAATTTGATCTTTCAAATGCCATATGGTTTTTTGTTTCTCCCTTGGAAATTAGGTATGAGGTTAATTTCCAAAATGGAATAGAATGTGGTGGTGCCTATGTGAAACTGCTTTCTAAAACCTCAGAGCTCAACCTGGTAGGTGCTTTCTATTTTTTTATATGGTCACCCACATTCACCCTTTAAAAATCTTAAGAGAAAGGGAATTTTTTAAGACCTGTGAAGATAGTCCTCTTTTCTCACTATTGGGTAATTTGGGACAATTAGGGACATTGACTTGATATTTCTGTGTTTTTTATTTGAAATATGTATTTCAGAGCTATTTTGTCTGATTTCTGCTCTGTGAAACCTTTAGTTCTAGTAAACTACTTGTCTTTATTTTGTGAAATGACTTATCTAGATATGCATAACCTTTTTTTTTAAACATTTTCATGTAAAATTTCCTGGCAGTTACTGGTCATTCTCTCATAAACCTCGTAAATGAAGTTTTCCTCATTTATGTGTCACACTAAGTTATTTGCAATTTGAGGAATTACACAATTTTAAAAGGTTGCTTTTGAACACTTGACTGAATAACTTAAAATAATCCATTTTTGTTTCTGAAGGATCAGTTCCATGACAAGACTCCTTATACAATTATGTTTGGCCCAGATAAATGTGGAGAGGACTATAAATTGCACTTCATCTTCCGACACCAAAATCCCAAAACAGGTGTATATGAAGAAAAACATGCAAAGAGGCCAGATGCAGATCTGAAGACCTATTTTACAGATAAGAAAACACATCTATATACATTAAGTAAGCAAAACTCCATTAATTTGGGGGGGCTTATGACGCTATATGCATCATTCATTCAGTTAAAATTTTGCACATCTGGAGAAGTCCTACACCTGCAAATAGAGTCAGTATTGGCTTAGTAGCTTAGTGGTGAAATGAACTTAAATTTCTCCATTAAAAATTCTCCATAGAGGGCCCTCTCTGGTGGCGCAGTGGGTTAAAGCACAGCACAAAGAAGCTTAGGCCACTTACGCATGAGTTCGATCCCCGCCTGCCCCGGAGGAGATCCACATGGCGAGGCAGACCTCTCCTGACCTTCCCGCTGCTCCCCTCAGCATGTACTTTGTCGATCTGCCTCTTCTGTACCCCACTCTGTCTCTGGTGAATCCTCTCATCCTCTGCATCTCTGGCCTGTACCCCAGTTCTGTACTAATAGATAAATAAATCTTTTAAAAAAAAATTCTCCATAGATTAAATTATAACTGAGGTTTGAGATCACTATAAGAAAAATCTTTTATGTCTCATAAAGAACTTCTTTAGTGATCTCTCGCCTTTCTCCCTTCTATTTATTGTATTTATTGTCTTATTGATAAAATGCTAAATAATAGGATATGCAACCGAAACATGTACTGTTTTTTCAAACTTTAATTGAACTTTGTTTGGATGCTCTAACAGCTGGGCAAATTGCATTGAATCATTTTAACATTGGAATGGGTTTTTTTCAGTGAAATTTGTCCTACTGGTTTGAGATCATAAAGACATGCCCCATTTTCCTTTATAGTAAAAGTATTATACAGTATACAAGTTCAGAAGATAGAAACCTATAAACAGACATTTAAAATAATCTGAAATGTCAGCATTGTGATAGTTGCCATGTATTGGTAAATACATGAATATATAAACATAATTTTGTATTTAACTGTTAAGTGGACTATATTTCAGTTCATCTTCTTAATATCCTGAATAGTGTGTATCACTGATAACATTGCCGAGGGCAACAGGCTAGTATTCTGTTACATATCATATTATTCTGGGTGTTCTGTGGATCTGTCAGTTGCCTTATAGACTGAAGGTATGAGATTAGGTTTTTAATGTAAATCAATGATGAGATATCCTTTATGGATTTAAAACTTGTTTTAATTTTTTTTTTAAAGGTTTATTTATTCATACAGAGCTGGGGTACAAGCTAGAGGTTCAGGGGCAGTGAGAGGGTTCACCAGAGGTAGAGTGGGGAAATTGACAAAGTATACTGCTGAAGGGAGCAGTGGGCAGGACAGGAGAGGTCTGCTGCACCATGTGGGTCAGTCACCTCGGGGCTGGGGGATTGAACTTGAACTGAAGCGGCTGCGGCCAGCTTGCAGTGCTGCGTCCTAACATGTTGCGCCGCCAGGGAGGGCCCTTTTTTTCATTTTTTTTTTTTTAAAGATTTATTTATGTATACAGAACTGGAGTACAGGCTAGAGGTGCAGGGGCGATGAGAGGATTCACCAGAGACAGAGTGGGGAGCAGAATAGGCTGACTGACAAAGTACACTGCTGAGGGGGGCAGGGGGCAGCGGGCAGGTCAGGAGAGGTCTGCCACACCATGTGGGTCAGCTCCAGGGCTGGGGAGCAAACTGGTGCTGAAGTGGCTTTAGCTCCTTAGTGCTGCGTTTACCCACTGTGCCACCAGGAAGGACCCTTGTTTTCATTCTTAGTGACACTTCAGAAAAAAACAGTCACAGGTTGACATGGTTTAACAAACAGATTTGTATAATTTGAATAGTTTTGGTGATTTGCATGTTGACTAGAATATGAGCATTTGTGGTAGATCAATATTATATTAGTTTATGGATTTTTTTAAAAAATTATTTATATATACAGATTGGGGTACAGGCCAGAGGGACAGGGGCGGTTAGAGGCTTCACCAGAGTCAGAGTTGGGAGCAGAGCAGGCAGACTGACGAAATAACTGCTGAGGGGAGAAGTGGGCGAAAAGGATGATATAGGAGAGGTCTGCTTTACCATGTGGGTCTCCTCTGGGGCAGGGATAGCACTTGGCGCTAGAGCAGCTGCAGCTAGCTTTCAGTACTGTGTCCTAACCCATTGTGCTACCAGGGAGGCCAGTTTATGGATCTTTGTTTTTTTTGCCTGAGTTCCTAAAAACCTGAAGAACTTGTGATTTACAGATTAGGTAATGAAAATTAGCTTCTTAAGGCCCCAACACCATATTCTTACTAATACGTTAGGTGTTAAACTTTCTATTAGAAATTAGAAATTGTGATCTTTTGTGTTGTGGCAAAGAGAACTTAGGGATGGGAGGCAAATTAACTTTTCTTAATTGCATTTGAATGTTTTTTTCAGTCTTAAATCCAGATAATAGTTTTGAAATATTAGTGGACCAATCTGTTGTGAACAGTGGAAATTTGCTGAATGACATGACTCCTCCAGTAAATCCTTCACGTGAAATTGAGGACCCTGAAGACCAGAAGCCAGAGGATTGGGATGAGAGACCAAAAATACCAGATCCAGATGCTGTGAAACCAGATGACTGGTAAGTCTTGGGGAATAGTTTTTCAGTTAAAGGAGCATTTCATATATTACATGTGACTTGAACAACTGAATGTTGGTGGAGATGTGATTTCAGTAATCTGTGATGCAGTGTAAAGGTAGGGAATGTTGTAGATGAGTATAGCTAAAAGGTGGCCATAATGATCATCCGAAGGCCTTGTGCTATTTTATAAGCTATAGAAATCTAAAATTGATGATAATAAGTTTGTAGCAGACCTCCCTTGGCCTTATCTTTCCAGAGTTTTTAATTTTTTTTATTTTTTTTATTTTATAACAGTTTATTTTACATCATTTTGTACATTTTTTTTCCCATCTCAACTGTAATCCCCGCGGGTTTCCCATCACCATGTCACCTGTGTGCCATCATCACCAAATCCTGTGCACTTCCGTCCCCCCCCCCCCCGTTTTTGATCCCATTCCCTGCTCCACCAGAGTTTTTAATTTTTTAAGATTAATTTGTGCATACAAGAGCTGGGTTGCAGGCCAGAGACACAGGGGTGAGAGGATTCACCAGAGACAAACTTGGGAGCAGAACAGACAGATGGACTGAAATAAACTACAGAGGGGAGCAGAGGGCTGCAGTGCCATGTGGGTCATTTCCCTTGCCGGGAAGGGAACTCATGCTGCAGTTTCTGTGGAGATCTTCATAGTGCTGCATCTTAACTACTTATGTCACCAGGGAAAGCCCTCCAAAGTTTTATGAATTTACATTTAAAGCTGGAATCCTGAAATTTTAAATTCCAGTGAAAAATAACTATTACTTATAATTAACTCATTAATTATAATTAAATAATATTTAGGCCATATCTGCTCTCTGTTGGGCAATGAACTATATAAAGCCACAGGACACCAACTGCCTACGTAGAGCGCCAAGTTCAGTTATGAGATAGGTAAATTAAGTTGGCATGCTTACGTTGTATAATTAGGTGGTGTTACCTGGTGATCAGCATAGCACATTAAATTGAAACTTGAAAGGACAACAATTACCTAAGTGATAAACGAGGGAAATGGTATTCTTGGTTAAAGAAGATATTGTGTACAAAAGTAGATGAGCAAAAGTGAACTTGACCTCTGTGGCATTAATTGAAGCTAGATGGCTTTTTATGCAGGATACAAATTGTAGAGTGATGAGTCTGTGGCGATGGTGATGTTTGAACTTTAGTGCAGTGAATTTCAGAAATGTCAGAAAGTGAATAAAGAGAAATGATATAATACTATTGTTTCTTTTTTAATAAAGTGTTCTCGAAAATTAGCAGTTAAATTCTAGTTGATGCTTTCCTTCTGTTAAAGTTTTTAAGGTATGGAGTCCTCTCTGGTGGTGCATTTGGTTAAACACAGCACTATGAAGCTGTCACAGTCACCTCAGCACAAGTTTAATCCCTGGCAAGGGGGGGTGACCCATATGGTGTGGCAGACCTCTCCTGTCTGACCCACTGCTCCCCTCAGCAGTGTGTTTCAGTTAATCTGATTGATCTGCTCTGCACTCTATGTCTCGGGTGAATCCTCTCACACTGTGCCACACCCTCCCCCTCTGGCCTATTCCCCAGTTTTCTTTGTATAAGTAAATAAAACTTTAATGGTATATAGGTTGCACTAGTGTAATGGTAATTTATTTCTGTATTTGGTAAACTCAGCATGGCTCAAGTTGTATTCTTCAGCTAGCTGTTTATTTGGGATGGGAGGAGTGTGAATGTTCAGCATAAAAGGGTCGGTTGAATGTGATGCAAGTTTGAGTTATCACACACTTAATTTAAAATTAGCATAATTCAAAACCAAACATAATCCTGACCAAGGAGAAATAAATGTATATTTACCAACTAAAGTGGCACTCTTTTACAGCAACTATATAAAACTTAAAATTAGATTTTTTAAAAATTTTTTCAAATATTTACACATAAAAGAACTAGGGTACAGGGGGTTGAGAGGATTCACCAGAGACAGAGACCAGAGACAGAGTGGGATGCAGAGCAAGTGGATCTCCTGAGGGCAGCAGTGGCAGTGAAATAGGACAGGTCTGCTGCATCATGTGGGTCAGCTCCCTGGCCAGGGATCAAACTCATGCCATATTGTCTGGTTATTGTCAGCTTGATAGTGCTGAGACTTTAACCCCTGTACTATTGGGGAGGCCCCCAAAATTAGGTACTTCTTAACAAATTCTTAGTTTTGGAGTATCTGTTTCACCTGTAATTCGCATACTAAAAATGCACACCTTTAAAATGTTCAATTCAGTGGTTTAGTATATAAACTATTTTGAAATCACCACTATCTCCTTCGAGAGCATTTTACCACCCAAATATACACACTCCTTAAGCAGTTAATTCCTTATTTCTCCTTTTCTGCTAGCCCCTGGCAACCCCTTACTTTCTGTCTGTATCTGGACATACAATAATAATTACATGTGACCCTTTGAGTGTGACTTCTGTCACTTAGCATCTTTTGAGGCCTTACATGTTGATAGATGTCTCTGTACTTTATTCCTTTTGTGAGTAATATTCCCTTGTATATTTTATTTATCCCTTCCTTGGTTGATTGATATTTAGATAGTTTTCCCCTGTTGGCTATCTTTATAAATATTGTTGCTGTGAACATCTATATGTAGATATTAGGTGAATATGTATTTTCATTTCTCTAAGATCTATATTGCAGAGTGGAATTGCTGTTCTGTGATAATTACGGTAACATTTTAACTTTTTTAAAGATACTTTCTGTATTCCAGAATGATTGCACCACTTACTGTCCCACAGCAGTGTTTCAGGGTTTCATTTTCTCCATATTCTTGCCAGCATTGTTTTTGTCAGTCATTTTTGTTTGCCATCCTATGTGTATGTGAAGTCATTTTGTGATTTTGATTTGCATTTTGCTGATGATTAATGATGCTGAACATCTTTCCTTATGCTTATTTGTCATTTGTGTATCTTTGGAGAAATGTTCTTTCAGATTCTTTGCCAGTGTTAAAATAGGGCTTGTCATTTTATTAGAGCCATAGAGTTCTTTATATATGATAGATAACTAGTACCTTAGTAGATAACCTGATTTAGGAATTTTTTTTAATGAAAAATTACTTTAAATTTTAGATTAAGGCCCTCCAAGGTGGCGCAGTGGGTTAAAGCACAGCACTGAAAAGCTAAAGCCACTTAAGCATGAGTTCAGTCCCCGCTCAGTAGGTGACCCCATGGCGCAGTAGACCTCTCCTGACCCGCCCGCTGCTCCCCTTGGCAGTGTACTTCGTTCATCTGCCTGTTCTGCTCCCCATTCTGTCTCTGGTGAATCCTCTCGCCGCCACTGCACCTCTGGCCTGTACCCAGTCTGTATGCATAAATAAATAAGTCTTAGAAGAAAAAATAATTTTTAGATTAAGCAAGTCCTAGATATTTTTTAGGTTGTACTTTCACAAAATGAGAACACGTTAGGTGTCTCTGGTTAATATTGTCACAACTAATTTTTCCTTATGTATTTAAGGGATGAAGATGCCCCTGCTAAGATTCCAGATGAAGAGGCCACAAAGCCTGAAGGCTGGTTAGACGATGAGCCTGAATATGTACCTGATCCAGATGCAGAGAAACCTGAAGATTGGTAAGCACCTTAGTCGACTTTTAAAATTATCTGCTCTTTTTTTGAAGAAAGAATTAAGCACAGTGCCCAAACAGCTCAACGGATTTAATTATATTTTTGTTTTTCACTTTGTTTAATGCATTTGTCATGAAAAATCCTGGTTACTGGAAATGCAGAAACAAAATGATGCTCTATAGTATGACACTGAAAGCATTCCTGCATGATTTCAGGCTTACCCTGGGTTGGTCCTTATAGTACATTGTAGAGCTTATTTATAATTTGTTCATATCTCCACAGGGATGAAGATATGGATGGCGAATGGGAGGCTCCTCAGATTGCCAACCCTAAATGTGATTCGGTCCCAGGGTGTGGTGTGTGGCAGCGACCTATGATTGACAATCCCAGTTACAAGGGCAAATGGAAGCCACCCATGATTGACAATCCCAATTACCAGGTTTGTGTCTTTAATTGATTGAATTACTTTGTTAATTTGTTGCTTGTAGTGAAGCTATCATGTCGATCCGTGTACTCATACTGCTGAATTAAAAACAGTAAATTTCATAAATGGAAAGTTTCATTGCTTAAATGTTGGAAAGATAAATCTAGAAACTGGAAAGAGCTTTGATAATTGCTTTATAATTTTCCTTTTAAAACAAAAAGGAGGGCTCTACCTGGTAGCACAACGGGTTCTGGAAATGCAGAAACAAAATGATGCTCTATAAAAAGGAGGGCTCTACCTGGTAGCAGAATGGGTTAAAGGACAGTACTATGAAGCTAGCCACAGCCGCTTCAGAACAAGTTTGATTCCTGGCCAGGGAGTTGACCCACATGGTGTGGCACACCTCTCCTGACCCATCTGCCGCTCCCCTCAGCAGTGTACTTGTCATTCTGCTTGTTCTGCTCCCCACTATGTCTCTGGTGAATCCTCTCACCACCCCTGCACCTCTGGCTATATCCCAGCTCTGTATGCATAAATAAATCTTAAAAAAAGAAAAGAAAATGCAGGTACTCTGCTACTGTTTGGTGGGGTACTTTAGTCATAGAATTCTTATTAGCAATCTGTGTAATTGGTGGATAGAAACATTTGAAGGGAGATGGTCCTTCCCTCCCACCCCCACCAAATAGTTCCTTGACCTCAGTTTCAAACTACAAAAAGACTGAGGCGCAAATGAGGTGATTAGAATTAAGATAGTAATGTTCCAGGTTTAAGGTTTCTATGATGATGTAGCCACACAGATATTTAGTCTTTCTTCTAATGCTGTCCTAGTTACATTCAAAATTGCAACTTACTTGTCTCATCTAATATGTATAAATCTGTGTGTGCATATACACAGACTTTTGTTTTTGTTTTTTTAATGATTTATTTAGGCGTACAAAACTGGGGTATAGGCAAGAGAGGATTCACCAGAGATAAAGTGAGGAGCAGAACAGGCAGACTGATGAAGTACAGTGCTGAGGGCAGCAATGGGTAGGCCGGAAAGTCCTGACAAGACATGTGGAACACCTTCCTGGGCGGGGCTCAAACTCGTGCTCGTGCTGAAGTAGCTGGGGCTAGCTTCATAGTGCTGCACTTTAATTCACTGTGCCACTGGGGAGGGCCTACTTTCCTCTTTGTTTTTTTTTTTAAAGATTTATTTATTTATGCATACAGAGCTGGGGTACAGGCCAGAGGCTCGGGGCGGTGAGAGGCTTCACCAGAGACAGAGTGGGGAGCAGAACAGGCAGATGGACGAAGTACACTGCTG